TTGTGATACCCCCTGCCATGTCTCTGTTACCTAGAATTGCTTTTGCTATTCTGGGTCTCTTCTTGCTCCAAATGAATTTTTGGATTTTTTTCTTGCCTCTCTAGATTTATTAATCATGTCTTGCATCATGGTGCTTATCTTTGGAAGGTGGGATTTTTGCTTTCTTTTGAACTGTCTCTTTTATACTTCTTAGTGTTTAAATTTATATAACTTGCAATAAAAATTTTAAAAAATGTAATCAAGGACCGAGATTTAGCTCAGTGGTTCCACCGCCTGCTTCACAAGCGCAAGGTCCCAAGTTTGATCCCTGGTACCACAAGAAAAAAAAAAAAGACAAAAGCTACCACAAAGAGCACTGGAAGGGTCTTTCAGGTAAATCTGAAGATAAAGAATAAAGTAGACAAGTTAGATCAAACAGGAATAAATGAAAGAAAGTAACATTTGTATTCTTGGAAGAAAAAGTATTAGACTCTACAGGTTAAATTTTTTTTTTGGTACCAGGGATCGAACTTGGATCCTTGCGCTTGAGGGGCAGGTGGCAGAACCACTGAGCTAAATCCCCGGCCCCTCTACAGGTTAAATATTTATAGAAAGCCTTAACTAATGTGAGTGCAATATAAAGTTAATCTTTTCATTTGAGATTTTTTTTGGTGGTGGTGGGAGAGAGTTTTGAGACAGGGACTATGTAGTCCAGGCTGGCCTTGAACTCATGGTGATCCTCCTGCCTCAGTCTCAAAGTTCTGGGATTACAGGTGTGCACTACCATCTCTGGCTTCATTTTAGATCTTTTTAAGGAGATAAAAAAAAAAGTGAGTCTGCTTTTTAAAATTCTAAATTCATTCTTTGATGTTTCTGAATCTTCCAGAGTCTCTAAGTCCTCTTTGTGATGAATAGTTCCTATTGAGTAGAACTATAGATGACAGATTTAGACTAATTGAAGGACATATTCTCATTTTTACTTTTAATACTAATCTATCAAAATTTTCTCTTGATTTGTTTCTTCAAAAAGTACAGAAGCTTTCTATTTAACTGATGACCATATTTATCAGAGTTTAAAAATTGTAACTAGTTTTAAGAACTGTATGAATCAATTTATATTATTCACAGATTACAAAGGAAAGCTACCAATACTTGGAATATGTCCCTATTTGAGTTGATATCACAGAGGGTGACCACAACCTCTCTCAAGTCATTTGATTTTTAAAATTATTAATTTATTTATTGAAAACATTTACTGAGAACCTACTATGTGCCAAGCAGAGTGCTAAGTGCTAATGACACAAAGATGTATAAGAAACAGTCTTAGCTTTAGGTAACTGACAATCCATTTATGAACTGGATATTATAAATTAATCTCAGGGTTGGGAATATAGCTCAGTTGTAGAGTAGTTGGCTAGTATATGTGAGATCCTGGATTCATCCCCAGCACCAAAAGAAAAAAAAGAAAAAGGAAATCTCAGAAATATACCAAACCATCCATTACAAAAATTTAAAAAACTATTAGTAAGAGTAGCTAACTTCTACTGAGTACTTACCATGTACTAGGTTATTAACACACATTATTTCATTTAATTCCCATAACTACTGCATGGGTAGGAATTAATAACCTATACAGTAGTTTAGTGAGGCTAAGTACTTTGCCCAAAGTTACATAGATAGTAAGTGATATAACTGAGATTTAGAGTCAAGCAACCTAGTACTGGAGTACTCATTCTTCTGAAGATGAGAGAAACTCCTTTTGCTACTGTCTTGATAACAACAACAAAATGAAGGAAAAACTAAGAAAATAAAGGGACTAATTATGAGAATAACGACAAACTAGGAAGACTTCAAGCAATGTGCCAGATATACTGTATGGGTCAGATTTTCATCACTGGGATCAAATGCCTAGCATATATAATTAAAAGTAGAAAAGGTTTATTTTGGCTTATGGTTTCAGAGGTTTCAGTCCATAGCAGGCTGGCTCCAAGGCAGAAACATCATGATGGAAGCACATGATGTATATCTTTCAAAAATACACCCCCAATGACCCATCTCCTTCAACTGAACGATTGAATCACCTTCCAAAAGCCCCACTCCGAACACATGAAACTTCTGGGGGTCATTTTATTTTACTTTTTTGTCTTTTTGAGACAAGATCTCACTATGTAGCCCAGGCTGGCCTTAACTCACAGTGATCTTCCTGCCTCAGCCTCCTGAGTTCTGGGATTACAGGCATGTACCACCACACCTGACTGGGGTCATTTTAGATCTAAACCATAACATATGCTTAGCCTAAAAGAGCAACTACTGTCAATTTGTGAGCTAATATATTCTTTAGAAGCAAACAAGGAGCTATCATGGACAATGAATAAGGTAAAAGGAGCTTTCCTACATTTAAAAGCTCTACTATAAAGCACAAGCCACTGACTATTCTAAAAGAAGGCATCAAGCAGCCTTCAAATACTCTGGCTATGTGCTATTAGAGATACAAGTTCTTTCTGAATATAGTCTCTGAAGGGGGAAAGGGACATAATCTATGCCTCATCTATACTTGACTGAGAGAAAGAAGAGGTTCTTTCTAGCAGATTAGTTTGAGAAGCCAATGGGGAGGGTTCCACTGGTACTATGGGGAACTGTGATTGCCTTAGCCTGGGTTATGGCCCACTCTGTGACCTTAAAAGTGGAGGTGTTGCCACAGAAAGAGAATGTAGTGTATGCCACATCAACCAAGAAGGGACTTCACAGGTATGAGGGGCAATTCATGCAACAAATACTTTCTGATAATCTAGGCTATTTGATACACTTGGCCACAGAAAATGATTAAAACAAGTCTCTGAACCTGATGTATTCAGAGTTTAATGAAGACTGAAAAGATATGAAATAGTTCATAATTTAGGTGAATAGACAAAATTATTACACAATAAAGCAATGGTGAAAAGTTCTACCTGGCCTACAATTAAGTGCTGAAATGTATGGTACATACCACAAGTGATGTAGTTCTAAGGAGAGGAAAATCAATACTGTAGTCATGAACTGAATTAGGATTTAAGACATAGGCAGGATTTGGCTGGAAGAGGATAGGAGATGGAATTAAGAAAAAAGGAGAGGGGCTGGGGATTTAGCTCATTGGTTCCGCCGCCTGCCTCGCAAGCGCAACAACCTGAGTTCAATCCCGAGTACCAAAAAAAAAAAAAACAAAAACAAAAAAGAAAAAAGGAGAAAGAATTCAGAAGAAAAGATTAGTGAGGAGATTGGGGTTCAAAAGGACAGTCAGTGAGGAGACCGGCTTGAGAGAAGCAGAGTGTATATAGCAGATGAGAATTCACAAACCACATGGCCAAGGCTGGTTAGTCTCCTTCTTTTGCCAGAACAATGTCAGTGCTTTAAGATGCTAGAAGCATCCATATGTGCCAGAATTTGACAAGAACCACACCCTTAGTTACCAACCACCCTAATTCACTATGTGGTAGAGTGGAGCAGGAGGAGGAGGAAGGAATTTTTCCTTTTAATATCTATAAAATTTCAGTGTTTACTGGTAGAATATATTGTTTCTGAAATAAAGTAACTATTACATAATTCAGTCTAAGACCTAAAAACATTTGTCTGAAATGCAGTGATATCTCCTGGGTTAATTTATCATTTAAGAACATGGAAAATAATCATCTTGACTTGTAAAAGACTACTTATTAATAATAAATTATTACTGTTCCTTTCACTTAAGTTCCTGAGGCAGGAGGATTGTGAGTTCAAGGCTAGCTTGGGCAACAGAGCAACATCTCATCTCAAAAAAAAAAAAATCTTACCATCATTGCCAGACTCATCAATAGGAGATGCTGAGTTCATATCTTCTAGGATTCCCTTTATGATTTCAACAACTTGAAGCCTCCTGACTCTAAGTAGGTCTTTATCTTTCAACCCTTCCTCCAACTGTTTGACTACCTCTTTTCCAGGCTGGGAAGTCAGGATGGTAATCTGAAAATAAATCCAGGAATCAATGTTCTCCCTGATGTCCAATGAGGAACATCACAGTACAAGTCGGTAGTAGTGGCTATTGTATTTAATGAAAAGAAGATTTAACTGTAAGTTACAAATAAAATTTTAGTTAATCTTCATCAAAAGGCCATGAAGTGCTATAAAATCAAATTTCATTTGGCAGACTATAGTGAGACAGGTCATCACAGGACCTTTCAAGGGAAGATGAGCTGACCCCAGAAAAGGACCACTGAGATATGTTCCTTCAAAACACTGCTTTTACTGTATCTGACACATTTTGATAGCCATGTTTTCACTTTAATTTAGTTCAGTTCAAAATATTTTTGAATTTCTCTTGAGATTTCTTCTTTGACCCATGTGTTTCTTGAAAGTGTGTTGTTTAATCTCCATGTATTTTTGGGTGTTTTTCTAGTTATCTCCAGTTAACTAATTTCTATTTTAATTGAGTTGTGGCCTGATAGCAAACATTGTATGATTCCTATTCTAAGAAGTGTTTTATGGTCCAGAATGTGGTCTACCTTCATGAATGCTCCATATAAGCTTGAAAAGAATGTGTATTCTTCTATTGTTGGATGATGTATTCTATAGATGATGATTATATCTAGTTGATTATTGGTGTTATTTACTGAGTTCAACTATGTCCTTACTGATCCTGCTGGATTGGTCTATTTTTGATAGGGAGAAGGTGAAGTTTCTAAGTACATATAGTTAATTCACTTATTAATTTGCAATTCTATATGATTTTACCTTGTTTTTTATGGTTTGGATCTGAAATGTCGCCAAAAGGCCATGTATGGAAGGCTTGGTTTTAGCCTGTGATGCTATTAGAAGGTTGTAGAAACTTTAGGAGGTTGAGCCTACTTGGAGGAAGTAGGTCACTGGGGGTATAGCCTTGAAGGGTATGTTTGTCCTCTGTGCCTTTCTGTCTTTGCTTTCTGGCCACCATGAAGTGAGTAGCTTTCTACTGCCATGCCCTTCCATCATGATATATTGCCTCACCACAGGTCCAGAAGCAATAATGTCAAATGACCATGACTGAAATCTCTGAAACTGTGAACCAAAATAAATCTCTTCCTTCTTTAAGTTGTTATTCTCAGGCATTTTGTCACTGTGACAAAAATCTGACTACTTTAAGACACTCATTAATATGACACTCTGATGTTAGAAGCATACATATTAAGGATTGTTATATCATCTTGAAGAACTGCCTTCTTTACCATTATGTAATGCCCTTCTTTATCCCTGATAACTTTCTTTGCCTTGAAGTCTGCTTTGTTTGTAATTAATATAGTGACTCCTGCTTTCTTTTGACTAGTGTTAGCATGGTATATTTTTCTCCATCCATTTACTTTTTTTTTTTTGATACCGGGGATTGAACTCAGGACCTTGAGCTTGGAAGGCAGGTGGCAGAACCACTGAGCTAAATCCCCGGCCCTCCATCCATTTACTTTTAAGCTATATGTATCTTTATGTTTAAAATTTTTTATTAGTATGTTTGCAGTACATAATGATTACATCTATTGTGGGGAGTTGGTACACATATATAACACATCTTAATATTTTTCATCCCCTACCCATCCCATTCCCGTCTGCTCCTTCCAACTTCTGGTCCCCTATCCATTTGCAAAAGCTCTGTTTCTCTTTTCCCTTCTTCAATTCTTTCTTTACCCCTTTTTTTCTGCCTCCTTTTCCTCTCCTCCCTCCCCCTGCATCTTTATATTTAAATTGGGTTTTTGATACACAGCATATAGGTGGGTCTTCCTTTTTAATCCACTCTAACAATCTTTTTAAAATTTTACTTTTAATTTTTTTGTGGTGCTGACCATCAAACCCAGGGCCTTGCCTAGGTTGGGCAAGCACTCTACCACTGAACCACAGTCCCAGCTCCAACTCTGGGATCACTGACATTCAAAGTGATTACTGACATAGTGGTAATATATATCATATTTATTACTGTTTTCTATTTGTTGCTGCTCTTTTTTCTTATTTTTGACTTTCACTCTTTTTATGCCTTTTGTATTTTTTTTTTTGGTACCGGGGATTGAACTCGGGTCCTTGCACTTGCGCAGCAGGCGGCAAAACCACTGAGCTAAATCCCTGGCCCGCCTTTTGTATTTTTAACCAAGCACCTTATATGATTCTATTTTCTTTCCTTTCTTAACATGTCAATTATAGTTCTTTTCTTTATGTTTTAAAGTGGTTGTCCTAGAATAGTGATGGCGAACCTTTTAGAGATCAAGTGCTCAAACTGCAACCTAAAACCCACTTATTTATCACAAAGTGCCAACACTGCAATTCAACCTGAATATTAAGTTTTTAGTTTAGAAAGAACAACTCATACATTAACATCTTTTGTCATAAAAGATAAACAACACGTGTCATAGGTTCACCACAACTGTCCTAGAGTTTGCAATATACATTTATAATTAATCCAAGCTTACTTTTTTATTTTTTTAAGTTTTACTTTTTATTACTACATGCTTGCAGTACATAGTGTTTACATTCTTTGTGTAAAGCTGTTATGTATACATAACACATCAATAACACTATACCACTTTACAAGTACTTTATTGCAACAAAACAATCTTAATTCCTCTCTCCTGTCTTTTATACCATTGTTTCTCTCTTTCTTTTTGTACTGGGGATTAAACCCAGGGCCTCACTCATGCTAGGTTAGCACTCCACCACTCAGCTATACTCCCAGCTCCTTTTTTTAAATTTTGATACAGGGAATTGCTAAGTTGTGCTGGCCTCAAACTTGTGATCTTTTTTCCTTAGCCTCCTGAATAACCAGAATTATAGATGTGCACTACTGCATGTGGCTAGATCTGAGTTTCTGATTGATATTATTTTCCTTCTCTCTAAAGAGCTTCTTTTCTTAATGATTCATTTTTTTCTTTTCTTTTTAAAAATCAGTGTATGCGTGTTGCATAACTGTTTCAAAATAGTTGCATTTGTTTGGGATATTATATATAATATATACGATATTATATATATTATACATGTCATATATGTTATATAATTTCTTGATCATTTTCAATCCCTTTACACTGCCTCCCTAAATTTTCCTTCCCTCTAAAGAACTTCTTTTAACATTTCTTTGAAGACAGGTCTATGGAAAATTCCCTCAATTTTTGTTGGAGAAATTCTTTGTTTCTCCTTCATTTTTGAAGGATAATTTCACAGGGTACAGAATTACAGATTGGTGGATTATTTTCTCTCAACCCTAAATACTTCTCTCTGTTCCTGTTTTGCTTGCGTAGTTTTTAAAGCAGAAATTGGATGTAATTCTTTGTTCTTCTTCCCCTCCTCTGGCTTCTTCTAGGCTTGTTTCTTTATCTTTGATTTTCTGTAGTTTTAAAATAATATGTCTAGGTATAGGATTTTTTTTTCTTTTAACGTGATTAGTGTTCTCTGAACTTCCTGGGTCTTAAGTTTGCTGTCTGATCTTAATTTAGGAAATTTGCAATCAATGCTGCTTCAAATATTTCTTCTATCCCTTTCTCCTTCTTTTTCTGGTATTTCTATTGTATATATTTATTTATATCTTTTGTAGTTTTTCCTCAGTGCTTAGATATTCTGTTCTGGGGCTTTTTTCCCTCAGTTTTTGTTTTCTTTGCTTTTCAAATTTTGGAGGTTTCTATTAATATAGCCTCATGTTCTGAGATTATTCACTCAGCCATGACAAATCTATTAACCAGTCCATCAAAAACTTCATTTCTGTTAAGTGTTTGATTTCTGTTGACTATCGTGGTGTCTACTTTATCCATTAGATTTCTTGCCAAATTGCTCTTTCATGTATCTACTTTATCTATTAGAGCCCTTACCGTATTAATCATTGTTGTTTTACATTGTACATTCCAATAATGTCAATGTCCCTGTCACATTTAGCTCTGATGATTGTTTTGTCTTTTCAAACAGTGAGGGTCATTGCTTTTTATTGAGCCTTATATGTTCTTGATAGTCAGACATGATGTACAGGGCCAAAGAGACTGCTGTAAGAGGCCCTTAATAATGCGGTGTTAAGTATGGGAGGAAGGGAAGCATTCATTAGCATTACATTAAATTAAATTATATTAAAACAAAATGATATAAATAATTTTATAAATTGCATATAAGTTGTATAAATTTAATAAAATAAAATGTAATTTAATATGAAATAATTTATATTTTATTTTATATTAGATCTCAGTCTTTTGAGAACCTATGTCTCTGAACTGTAAATTTCAGAAGTATTTCTTAGTTTTTTTTCCCTCCCCATTAGTTGGGACAAGAGGGCTAGAGTGTGCCAGAAGTCTATTGCTGGCCCAAGTTTAGTATTTCTTGTCCCCCAGGTCAATTAGGCTCTGATAAAAATCCCAGCAGGTTAGGCTTTGTTTAACTGCTTAACTAGTTTCTTCTGAGGCCAAAACTTGTTAAAAAGAACAAAATGCTCTGACGTATTTAAAAATGGTTGCTTTTACCCTCCCCTTGTCTTAGGCATAAGGTAATTTCCCCCTGATATTTATTGTGAGAGCCTCATTAAATTTCTTGAGGCCTCTCTATGACTGAGTCCTGGAGTTTTTAACTTTCAGACTTGTTCATTCCTAGCTTTCAGTTATTCATCAAAGTTCTTATTTTTCTAGCCACACACTGGTTCCCATGGAGGTTTATGCTCCAGTATGTTATAATCCTCTGTCCATCTGTCTCTCTAATTTTCTTTTTCTTTTTTTTGGCACTGGGGATCAAACTCAGGTCCTTGCATTTGTGCAGCAGGCGGCAAAACCACTGAGCTAAATCCCCAGCCCTCTAATTTTGAAGGCAGGAGTTTGCCCTGTGAACTTATTTCTCTTAGGGAGTTGAACACAGTTGTTGACTTTTCAGATTGTTTAGTATTTCACTAGTATTTAGAATGAAGTGGCAACTTCCAAGTTTCTTGCATGTGAAACTGGAAAGCAGAAGTCCCACACAATTATTTTTAACTCATCTGTTTGCTGCCTGAAGTTACCAGAGGCTGAAATGTATTTTAACTCATACTCACTCATGTACCCATGGAGTATGCAGCCATGACTTAACTTAACTTATATTCTTAAGACTGTCTCAGTCAAGGGCTGGGGATTTAGCTCAGTGGTTCTGTCATCTGTCTCGCAAGCGCAAGGTCCCACGTTTGATCCCCAATACCAAACAAACAAACAAAATATCTGGGCCAGGGATTTAGCTCAGTGGTGCTGCCACCTGCCCTGCAAGTGCAAGGTCTGTAGTTCGATCCCTGGTATCAAAAAAAAAAAAAAAAAATTGTCTCAGTCTGGCACTAGAATAGTAGCAATTTTTATATTTGCACATTAAATAATCCCAAGAAAATTTACTCAATTTGATGCCAAAATTTGATTAAGGATAGTTACAAATTCTTAAGGATATTCAGGTAAACATAAATATCAATACCAATCTACAGAGTTTAATGTTTTGTTTTACAAATTCCAAAAATCTGGAGGTAGATGGCACATTCAGATTTTATTTCAGCTTTTCCTTATAATTCATTTTAGTCTCTAATTTACTGAGCTCCTTTCTATACCTATCTATATTTTAAGACTCTTATAGGTTATAGGATAAAGAGAAACATGGTTTCTGCCTGCAAGGAGCAGAGAATCTAGTTTTGAAAATTACATTCAACTTGTATAAAACAGAGAACAATGTAAGGATTATAAATAATGAAACACCTATATAGACCAAAATGGGAAGATGGCTTTCAGTCCTAAAAGTCAGCATCTCTTACCTCCAGAGAAGTGTAGGGCAGGGCAGCACTTGTGTTCATATGTCTGCTATATTGCTTGAACTGCTGGAGCCCATCCTCTACTGCCAGCTGCAGAGAAATGCTCTGTGGTCTGAAACAACCCTCTCTCTGTAACATGTGGAGCTCTGAGATGCAGGCTTGCAACCTAACAAAGTTCCCTCTCACTTGCTGCAGAAAAAAATGAATCAAAGATATAAATCTTTAGTGACCCAGATTTCAGTTTAATTAAGCAGTCCAATTTCATTATCCATTATTCCTCAGGAATTTCTTCCCTCCTAAAAATCAGTTTATTTGAACAACATACAATAGTGGATGCCTATCATATTGTAGGCATTGAACTAATAATATCTTCCCTTTATTAGCGGAAGGAAAATTTGCAGCCCAAAAGGTTTTGATTGTGTAAATTTACCAGAAGTAGGAAAGGAAGAGTTTTAAGTCATTCACTTACCAATTGGAAGGTCTAGTTGTGACTGCTTAGTTTTACTTTGGATAATTTGCAAACTGGAGACCTAGCAGCATTGCATTTAGTAAACGTTACCTTTATTTTTACTTAGTCACTGAGAAGCTGTCTATTTTAAAAAAAAGATGTGCTTCCAGGAATGAGGATTTTTTCAGAATTAAGGTCATACTTGATCCATGCTTCAGGATTATTTCAGTACAACAGAGATAACTGGCTTCATCTGTCAGTTTGAGAAACTAACATGTAAACTCCAGACAAGTGACTTTTCGGTTCTCATCCTCATTTATGAAAACTTGTTCTTAAGAAGTAATCTAGGAGGGCCAGGGATTTAGCTCAGTGGGTCTGCCGCCTGCCTCGCAAGCGCAAGGACTCGAGTTTGATCACTGACCAAAAAAAAAAAAAAAAAGATTTCTGCAGTATAAAAGAAGTAATCTGGGGCTGGAGATTTAGCTCAGTGGTTCCACTGCCTGCCTTGAAAGCACAAGGTCCCTAGTTCGATCCCCGGTACCAAAAGGAAAAAAAAAAGTTAACTTTTGGGCCGGGGATTTAGCTCAGTGGTTTCGCCACCTGCTGTGCAAGCACAAGTACCCAAGTTCGATCCCCGGTACCAAAAAAAAAAAAAAAAGAACTAATCTAATGATTCTAGGTCAATGTTACTTCTAAGGCATATGCATTGTGAATAAATGTGGACTAAAGATCTGTGACAATATTTGAAGGAACTCCATGCAACAATAGCAGCTGGAGAAAATGAGGAATTATATTTTGGGATAGGGAAACCTTCCTGCCCAAAGACTACACCTGATTTATACCTGCAATGTACATAAAATCCATGACCATGAGCTATAATAGTGACAGGGTACAATGATCGTATAAATTAACCAGTGCTTTGTTTAGCTCCAGGGCTGCTTACTTTGCTTTACATGCTCCTCTTCCTGAGGTTTTTATTTTTTGAAGGGGGGCACAAGAAATTCAACATAATTCTGACACAAAGAGAACTTGTGATTGAGATAGGAAGAGAAGAAAACTATCAAGAAAAAAATGAGAACAAGGGCTGGGGATGTAGCTTAGCAGTACAGCACCTGCCTGGTAAGTGTGAAGCCTTAAATTTGCTTCCTGATACAAACAGAGAGAGAGAGAGAGAGAGAGAGAGAGAGAGAGAGAGAGAGAGAGAGAGAACACAAATCAGACCATAATTAGCCTTGGCTTTGAGCATTTTTTTTTCTCACATATCTCTTAAAGGAATCTTAAAAGCAATATACCTCTTGATATGTTTTAAGTAAATATCTAGATTTGAAAATTCTAAGTATAAGTAGTTGCTAAAGATGTACCTTCCAGCATATTTTAAATATCAACATTTAAAATAAAACTAGTTGTTACAGTTTTTCAACTAGTTATTATGACTCTATGTCACTCTTAGAAATGTAATGCAATGGAATCTAAATATCATGGTGATTTGATCCTCACATTATTCAATTTAAAAAGTACTGAACAAACTACTCTTCCTTCTTGTCCTCTTCCTCCTTTTTGGTACTGGGGATTGAACTCAGGGCTGTGCACATGCTAGGCAATTACTCCACCCCTGAACTACATCCCCAGGCCCTTTTAGTTTTATTTTGAGATACAGTCTCACTAAGTGGTCTGGGCTGGCCTCAAACTTGTGATCCTCCTGCCTCAGCTTCCCAAGTAGTTGGGATGACATTTGTGTGCTACTGTGCCACACTCAAGCTGTCTGTTTCCTTCTTTCTCTTTCTCTTCTCTTTTTCTTTTTGTAGTTTTCAGAGATTGAATCCAGGATCTTTCATATGCTAGGTAAGTGATCAAGCTCTTCTTTTTTAACTGATGGAAATTTATAGTTTCCTTTTCTCCTTGAACTCATATTTCCATTATACTTTCCCTTCAGAGTTTTGTGATAATGTAAAAGAATTTTATGCTTGGCAATCTTTTATTGATCACTGTGTCATAGTTCTTTGTATCAAAAATATCTCTGTATTGCAAGATTTCTAAATATTCTATGAGCATGGGCTATAAGGGGTAATCTTGACTGAGTCATTATTAGTATTATTATTCAATATAATTAATCAAAACAACACATTTCCAATTTTGGGAAATATTATTGGCACAAAGCATAAACTTTAATTAGAAATGTACCTCTGAATAGTATGACCAGACTGGGCTCTTTTGTCAATTAGTTCAGGTCTGTGTGACTAAATTACTGCATGAATGACATAATATTCTTTTTTTTTTTTTTTTGAGACAGGGTCTCACTATGTAGCCCAGGCTGGCCTCAAACTCATGGCAATCCTCCCAAGTGCCGGGATTACAGGTGTGAACCACCATGCCTGGCTGAATGATATAATATTCTGTATAAATTTTATTTCTATTGTTATAGTGCTAAGAAAAGTTATTTTCATAAATTTAAGATATCAGATTGTCAAATTCCTTCTAACTTATATGCCAAAACCATACAAAGAGCTACCAATAAAAATGGCTTCTAATGTTCTAGCAAGTGCTACTCAACTTGGTGTTCTTTTCATTTTAAAAACAAAAAATTGGAAACCACCTGGTGGCACAGACTTTTTTTTTTTAACCCAGTCATATTGCTATTCTTGTTGTTTCAGCTTTAGGTGTTATCTGATGAATTCCAATCATAGTCTATGAAAATTTGTTTCTCTTTTTCTCTTCTGCCCCCATATAAACCAACATAGCTCTCCTTGTACACCTCACTCTCATTCTCTCAACACTTAGTTTTGATTTTGTTCTGATCAGCATTCAGTTTATTTCATTATGATTGTATAAAATCTGTTGACATTTGAGTCATGTAATATGCTGTTACTTTTCTTTTTCCATGCATTTTTTGTTGGAGTAGACCTTTTTAATATGCAAACTTTTCTGTCACCATTTAAATTCTAGGTATTTTAATCTAATTAAAACAATTGTTTAAATCTTTTTTTCCACATATTAAGACACTTTGGTTATTTTATCAATTTCTTTTTTCTGAAAAAAATCTTTCCTGGGGTGAGAGCCTTCTAGCCTGCTTCCATTTGGACTGTTTTCCTTCTCTGCCAGGTGCACTGCTACAAAGAGGAATCTTTGTTTATCATTTCTAGAGTTCCCTTTCAGTGCCTTTGTGTTGAATTTCCTGTTTTCTGGACCTGACATTATTTCCTTTCTTGGTTTATTCTTTCATTTTTGTGAATATATTCTTTAGAAGTTCACAAGAAAGGGTTCATAGCAGAAAGATTTCTTTAAAAATATATATTTAACACATAGTTGTACATATTTATGGAGTACTGTGATATATTATTCTCTCTATATAATATGTGACGATCAGGGTAATGGGCATATTTATCATCTTAAACATGTATTTGTGGGAAACATTCAAAACCCTCATTATTACTTAGAAATATACAAATGATTGTTGTCAACCACAGTTACCCTACTGGGGAAAATTTTTTGAGACTTTGTATATCAGAAAATATCTTATTCTGCCTGAATACTTGATCAATAATTTAGCTAAATAGAAAATTCTGTATTAGATATGATTTTCCTCAGAATTTTCAAGATCTTATTTTATTGTCATCTAGTCTCCTGGGTTGCTTTTGAGAAGACCAAAGCCATAATGATTCTTATTCCTTTATAAAAGAACTGCTTCTTTCTCTCTCTCTTGAGTCTAATATGATTTTTAATTTTGTCCCTAGCTTTCTGAAGTCTCAAGAATGTGTCTTAGTGTTACTATATTTTCAATCATTGCTTTGGGCACTCTATGAGCCCATTTAATCTAGAAACATATTATTCAGTTTTAGGGAAATTTTTTTATCTCTTACATGAATTCTTCTCTTGTATTTTCTCAATTCTTCTGTACCTTTCATTATTTGCACGTTGGAATTCTGAAACTAATTTATCAGTTTCCTTATGTATGTTTCTCCTAGTCTCCATATCTTTTGCTCTTCTGGAGTTAAACTTTATGAATACTGACCTTTTTTGTTTTTCAGAGGAATTTATTTTATTTTATTTATTTATTTTTTTGTACTGGGGGGATCAAACTCAGGATCTTGCACTTGCCAGGTGCACAGCACCAATGACCTACATCCCCAGCTCCCAGAGGAATTTATTTTACTCAATTTTTTTTTCTTCATTTTTTTGAAGGGTTTGGGCTCTCTCTCTCTCTCCTTGGCTCTATTTAATTCTTTTTTTCTTCCTGTTTTTATTTTTTCCTTTATTTTGCTGTTCTTTCCTTTTTATATATTGAGTTTTGTTTTGTTTGTTTTGATTGTTTGAGACAGGGTCTCACTATGTAGTTCAGACTGTCCTTAAACTGACTATGTAGCCCAAGCTGGCCTTGAACTTGCAGCGATCCTCCTGCCTCAGTTTCCCTAGTGCTGGGATTACAGGCATGCCCCCCTCCCCATGACTGGCTATATACTGGCTATATATTGAGTTTTTCAATTATCATAATTTTAATTTTCAGGAGCTCTTTTTTTTTTTCACTGAGTATGAAAAGCAGCCTGTGTTTATTTTATAGATAGAATATGGTCTGTATATCTAAGCACATCAATGGTAGCTTTTATTTTTACTGAGTTTCTTCTTGAACAGTCTGTTTCCTCCAAGTTGTCTTTAAAAAAATTTTTTTTTTGTTTTATGTTTCTTTTGGTGTCTTCTATGGTGTAAATGTGCCCACCAAAAACTCATGTTGAAATTCATTCCTCAT